GAGGTAAATGTAAGGTTTAGTAAAGCATACACACGTAGCTGGACAAAAATGCATAGTGAAATTTCATAATTGTCACACCAAGGAATTAGGGATACCTAAATTACCACTTTGCATGCAAGATACTAGAAAAGGATTGTTATATCTTGAAGTACTGTGCTATGAACCTGTGGGGAACACTTATGTCCTAGTTACTCTCATTACTTGATAAATCTCAAATATTCATACTTTCTACTTGTTTACTTACAAAAATTTAATTACTTTTTTGATTAAAACCCCCCTTTTGTTACCTGTTTTTGGAAAGGACTTGACTAAATAGAAGTAATAGAAGGTTACAGTCAAGTCTAAATCATTTTCCTCGTGGGATCGACTCCAACATCTTAGTTTGCTTCTTTACTCAATACGACCACTTATATTTCTTTTCGAGAGGTAAATTTCAGCGTATTAAATTTTGGCGCTGCTGCCGAAGAAAGTGGCTTTTAGATTAACTTTAAGCACATTACCAAAGTTTAATCATCAATTGCATAATTTTACTTTTTCTCTTTGTTTTTGTCTCGTGTAGATCTAACTTTCGTGTATGCCCAGTACGCGGAGTAGAGGAGAACCCATAATCTCACCCGACCCCAAACTAGAGCGTAAACTGCGCAAAATAAACCAAAATTTGGGTATTCTTGAAGATGATCACAACTCGGAAATTCCACCACCAATTGATGCTCATGATCAATTATTACCTGAAAATCATGGGGAAGGTGAAATATGGAGGCAACCTCCCGCTCCACACCCTCAAGAGTATTATAGGGGATATGATAATTTTACTAACTCTGACGGGCCACTTGTCTTGCCTTCCCCAACAACACGGCTATACTTTCATGGTAACTAGTAGTATGATGCAAATGATCACCGCTAGAGATTGTTTTCGGGGCTACCTTCTGAGGATTCTGATGCTCACATCGACAAGGTGAGGTCAGCGTGTAAGAATTGTGTGGGGAGGCCTGATGTGAACATGGACGTCATTGGGTTAAGAGTGTTCCCTCTCTCACTGAAGGGGGAGGCTGCTATATGGTTTACCGATCTCCCCTATAACTCAATCTATACTTGGAATCATTTCAAGGATGTGTTCTAGCACGTTACTACCTAGTGTATAAGAAGTTAAACCACAAAGATAGGGTGAACAAATTTGTGGCACTACCGGGAGAATCAATCAGTAGTTCTTGGGATTGGTTCACCTCGTTCTTGAGAAGTGTCCCCAATCACCGCATCGATGATGAGTCACTGAAAGAGTACTTCTATCGGGGACAAGATGATAATAATAAAGCAATACTGGATACGATAGCGAGTGCTGGTTATGGGGAGTGTCCTTATGCTGAGATCGCTGAGAAGTTAGCAAAAATCTCCCGAAATAATTAAGCTTGGAGAACTAGCAAGTCAGATACTGGGAGAAATACTTTTGCAGTGCAATCCGCACACAACCCAGCCAAAGATAAGATTCATGAATAAATAGCTGAAATGAGAACTGATCTTGGGTTTATGTTGAAACACGTCACTAGGGGTGCAAAAAAGGTAAATGCGGTGAACTACTTGTCTAAACCACCCACGCTGACTGATGAATATTACTATGAGGAGAACTCTTATGCGGTAAATGAGCAGAAGGGGGTTTCCGACCAAACGCCCAAGGCTCCAACTAGGATAATTAGCGCCAAGGTCAAAGAAATAAAGGTCAGAACTATGGTAATTACAACCAAGAGGGTCATCAAGTCCCAGATGGATGATGAGATTGTAAGCAAACCATTGACCCACCGATGCCGTCTTGTGTAGAAAATGTTATAAAAGGCGATGATGAGGTATTGGAGGTTAGTGGTGACTTAGGAGACAAAACGGGGAAAGAAGTTGAGATACCCCAAAAGGTGACCCCATTCCTAGACAACCACCTCCATTCTTGTAGAAATTAGATAAAAAAAGAGGACGATAAAAATGGCATTTTATCACTATGCTCAAACAGCTTTCCATCAATGTCCATTTGATAGAAAGTCTTGAACAAAATGTCTGGTTATGCCAAGTTCATGAAAGATATGGTCATTAAGAAAAGACCGGTCAATTCAATGGATGATGATATAATGCAACATTGTAGTGATATTGCTAAAAGGTCTCTAGTTCAAAAGAAAAAAGATCTGGGTGCCTTCACTATTCCATGTACAATTGGGTTATTACACTTTGTGAAAGCATTATGTGATCTTGGGGCAAGCATAAATCTCATGCCTCTCTCTATTTACAAGAAATTGGGTTTGGGTGACCTAAAGACCACTAGATGCGGCTAGTGATAGCCGATCAAATGTTGAAGAGGCATATTGGAATACTCCACGATCTGTTAGTAAAGGTGGAGTCATTCATTTTTCCAGCCGATTTTGTGATTCTTGATTGTAAGGTCGATTTTGGAGTTCCTATTATTCTTGGGAGGTCATTCCTTGCTATGGGTAGAGCCTTGGTTTATATGGACAAAGGGAAAATGAAATTTCCGTTGAATAATGAACACGTGACCTTTCAACATTTGTAGGTCCATGAGGTAGAGTGTGAGAACCAATCGGTATCTACCATATACAGGGTTAAAAAGTCATCTGAGGTGCAAATAGAAGAGTGTTTGGGTGTAGAAGCACTAATGGAAGTGATTATAAATTTTGATAGTGATTGCATTAAAAAGTATGGGTCATTGGTCGGGGCACTTGATCGAGGTGATGTTCGGTTTAAACCAAAGAAGTTGGAGTTAGATATAACGCATCGTGAGTCTCCACCTGCGAAACCATATATAGAGGAGGCTTCAAAAGTAGAACTTAAGGCTCTACCACCTTATCTGAGGTATATATTATTAGAAAAAGGTGACACTTTTCCGGTAATTATTGCATCAGATTTGAATGTGCATCGAGTTGGGAATTTTGTGGAAGTGTTATAAAGGTTCAAAGAGATATTGGATGGACTATTACGATATTATTGGGATCCTCTTGGGATTTGTTCACAAAAAAGCCAACTCATGCACGATCATAAGCCAAGTATTGGGCGCTAGAGATGTTTCAATGCACCTATGCAAGAGGTGGTGAAGAAGGAAATCATTAAGTGGTTTGATGCTGGAGTGATATAACCAATCGCCGATAGTAGTTGGGTATGACCAGTTCAGTGTGTACCTAAGAAAGGGGGAATGACTGTGGTTCCAAATGAGAAAAATGAGCTTATTTCTATGTGGCCGGTGACTAGATGGAGGGCATGTATGGATTACCAGAAATTAAATGCATGGACCGAGAAAGACCATTTTCCTATGCTCTTCATGGATTAGATGTTGGATAGACTTGCAGGAAAGGGGTGGTACTATTTTCTTGATGGATATTTGGGTTATAATCAGTTTTCTATTGCACCAAAAGATCAAAAGAGAACCACCTTTACTTGTACTTATGAGACCTTCGTGTTCAAGAGAATGCCATTTGGGTTATGTAATGAACCAGCCACATTTCAGAGATATATGATGTCAATATTCTTCGATTTGGTGGAGGACCCGATTGAAGTGTTTATGGATGATTTTTCAGTGGTTGGTCAGTACTTTGAGCGGTGTTTAAATCATTTGTCTGATGTTCTTAAGAGGTGTAAAGATTCTAACCTTGTGCTAAATTGGGAAATATGTCAGTTCATGGTGAAAGAATGTATTGTATTGGGTCATCGCATGTCAGAGAAGGGTATAGTGGTTGATCGAGCTAAAGTTGAGGTGATAGAGAGACTTCCTCCACCCATCTCTGTAAAAGGTGTGAGAAGTTTTCTTGCGCATGCAGGCTTTTACCGGAGGTCCATCAAGGATTTTTTAAAGATTGCACATCCTTTGTGCAAGTTGCTTGAGAAAGAGTGTAAGTTTTGTTTTGATGAATCCTATCTTATGGAATTTGGTGAATGGAAGGAAAAGTTTGCGTCTGCACCTATCATCATTTCTTTGAATTGAAGCAAACCACTTGAGGTGATGTGTGATGCGAGTGAGATTGATCTTGGTGTGGTATTTGGACAAATAAGGGACAAAATCCTTCATTCCATTTACTATGCTAGTAAAGCCCTTAATGAAGCCCAAAAGAACTACACCGTGACTGAAAAAGAGCTCCTTGCAGTACTCTTTGCTTTCGAGAAATTTTGCTCCTATTTGCTTGGCACGAGGGTTATAGTGCGTATTGATCATTCTACTTTGAGATATTTGATGGCAAAGAATGATATTAAACCGAGTTTGATTTGTTGAGTATTACTATTGAAAGAATTTGACTTTGAGGTGAAAGATATGAAAGGGACTGAAAATCAAGTTGTTGATCACTTGTTCTGATTAGAAGATGAAGTAATGAGGGAGTTAGGCGAAAAGGCTGAAATTGATGATACTCTCCCTGATGAGCATGTACTGGCGTCCTCCCAAGAATTGATTCCATAGATCGCAAATTTTTCAAATTATGTGGCTAGTGATGTCATCCCACTGGACTTGTCCTTTCATCAAAGGAAAAGTTCATGCATGATGTGAAAATTTTCTTTTGGCATGAGCCATACTTATATAGGAGTTGTGTCGATGGGATTATTCGGCGTTGTGTGCCGGAAGTTGAGATGTTGAGTGTTTTGGAGGCATGCCATTCTTTGCCTATAGGTGGGCATCACGGTGGTATCCGGACGACTCAAAAGATCTTGTAATGTGGATACTTTTTCCAACCATCCACCAAGATGCTCATGAGTTTGCCAAGGCATGTGCTAAATGCCAAAGAGATGGTGGCATTTCGAGAAAGCAAGAGGTCCCTTTAAATCTCATTCGTCTATATGAACTGTTTGATTTGTGGGGCATTGACTTTATGGGCCCTTTTGTGAGTTCTCATGGGATTAACTACATTCTTGTGGAAGTCGATTATGTGCCAAAATAGGTAGAAGCTATCACACTTGCGAATAATGAAGTGATGAGTGTCACCGCATTCTTCAAAAAGAACATATTTTCTAGATTCGGCACCCCAATGGCTGTTATCAGTGATGGGGGATCCCACTTTTGCAACAAGTTGTTTAAAGTATTATTGGAAATATATGGGGTTTGCCATAATGTGGCCACTCCTTACCATCCTCAGACTAGTTGGCAAAAGGAGGTGTCAAACAGGGATATTAAGCAGATTTTTGCAAAAACAGTGAATGCTAGTAGAACTAATTTGTCAAAGAGGCTTTATTTGGGCCTACCGGACAGCATACAAACTCCCATAGGTATGTCCCTATACCAACTTGTATTTGGGAAGGCTTGTCCCTTACCGTTTGAATTAGAGCTTAAGACCATGTGGGCAATGAAGAAATTGAAAATGAATTGGAATAAGGTTGCAGAACAGAGGTTAAACGGGTTGTATAAGCTTGATGAATTTAGCTTGAGGCCATATGAAAGTTCAGCTATCTACAAAGAAAAGATGAAGAAGTACCACAACCAAAAGATTGAGAAGCGCGATTTTTTAGTTGAGGATTTGGTGCTTCTGTTCAATTCTAGGTTTTACTTGTTTCTGGGCAAATTCAAGTCCAAATGTACTTGTCCCTATTTGAACACACAACTATTCCCTCATGGTGAGGTTGAGTTGGATAAAAAGAAGGGTTTTAGGTTCAAGGTGAACAGGAAGCGAATCAAAATCTATCCAGGGCATGCTGAAACGGCGAATGAAGTGATCGAGGCATACCATCTTGATAAAGTCTGAGTAATCAAGAGTCCTCCGTAGTGCTGCGATGTTAAATTAATCATTGAGTGGGAGGCAACCCAATATGTATCCTCTATCCAACTATAGGTTTTTGTAAAGATTGATTCATGTTCATCACTTGTAACAAGTTAAGTTAACCTTAAAAGCCATTAATAACATGCATACATAATACATAAGTCTTCATAACATAAGAGAACCGCACCATAACCACTCTTAAGTTGAAGTCTCGTACCCTCACTCATGCTATGTAGTACCCCTTAAAGAGTCATATCAAACCTCCATGTTCTTCACATAATTCATATTCTTACCTTATAGGGAAAATAGGCTTAACCGACATGGACCATGTGAACTTCATGGAATCCGATATACTACCCCCACTCCTAAAATAGGTGTCCAACTTGCCTAAGGTAAAACTAACATTTTAGTTTTTAAGTGGATCCACTAGCTAAAGACCTATGTGGTCACATAGTTATGGGATCTTAAGATTTCTACTAGAAACCCTAACTTCTAACGTAGTGGCTTCCATATCAAGTGACACCATATAGGGAACACAACTACTAGTGTGAAGGAACCCATCTCATATTCAAATCCACTAGGTGCTAAGCATAATTCCATTTAGTAGTCAAACTGATTCTTTACTTTAGTTCATGTTCATAAAAAAATGCACTAGGCACTCAACAACATATCATCATAGTAGCTCATTTATTCGTTAGGTGAGAATGTCCTTTCAACCTTAGAATCATCAACATGTGAGTAAACCTTTCACATTTTATTCATAGTGTTATAATTAGAATAGCCTTTCAATAAACATAACAAACATATCATAGTTATAGTCATTCACACATAGTTATGTGTAAAGGTAGAGAGAGAAGGATCTTGATATCAATACCACTAATACACAATAGTTAGAGGATTATCACTACCTAAGTGATTGACGAGTTCATATTATACAATCCTTATCACATAAAGAAACCCTATCAAATTACCCTTCAATGCTAAGGACCAAGATAAACCGTAACTCCGAGAATAACCACATTAGATAGAGAAATATCATGATCTAACAACTTAATTAATGTAAACATATTCAATTGTCAAGCCCCCATTAATTAAGCCATACCATAATTCACAATTTAAGAATAATCGGAAATCATGGGTCCAAGAGAGATTTTCATCAAAATCCATCAATACTCCATTAATACAATTGTAAATAATCATAATTAATCATAATGTACCATAATTAAACAATTGAAATCCTTTTTGAAGAATACCAATTACTACATGTAAATCCTAGGTTTTGGAAATTAATAAACTATCTTGACCTTGATCTTGCTCTTCAATAGAGTTCATAGAGAAAAATATTTTGGAGAGGAAGTTGGTTGAGTTTTGAGATTCTGAGTTGTGACGTGTTAAAAGTGTAGGTTAATAGTTAAAAATACTTAAATATGTCCAAAAAGATATTAGTAACAGTCCCCACCCTTAATTAATTAAATTTAATTTTACCAATTTACCCCTTTGTTGGCCGAGTATAGGTGTCTCCCACGTGTGATCTACAACTGCCCCGCCTACGAACCGCAGGTGGAGTTACTTCCTTACCGGTGAAATGTAGTTTGCTTTATCAAGAAGGAGGACCAAGTAAAGGATGTGGAGACTAAGTCCTTACCCGCGACCTCACCTATCGGAAGGGGGTCTACCAACGACTCATAGGTGCCCATCCGTAGGTGGTGCTGTCGTTTGACAACATTTTGGGCCTTTACTTGGGTCCTCCTCAAGGACCCTTGGGAGGTAGGTCCTTGGGGGTCATGCCTTGACGTGTAGATCATAAAACATTAGTACTAAGTTAGGGAGGTCCTTTTTTTGACTCTTATCTACATATTAACCCTATTTAGGACCCTAGACTACAAGTTAGGCTCTAGCTTAGGTCATTAGATTCTTGAGGTGTTACATTATCTCTCCCTTCGGAACATTCATCCTGGAATGATGATATTGACACCAAACTAAGTTAGAAACTCAAGACTGACAACCAATTACGCATGAAGCATAAAAAATGTGCAAAACTTACAAATGCATTATTCACCTCGTGCTCTATTCAAAAGAAGGAAACTTCAACTCCATCTCAAGACATGGTCAATGCAATACAAGAAAGTAGGAACTACATCTACCAAATCAATATGCATGAAATGAAACATATATCATGTTCATATGAGGAACTGCGTTCTCCAACCAAAACAAGCTCAAAACCAAATTATGGAGCCAACATGTCATTCCATAAAAAAGACTGCTAAACATGTTAATCAATTCACCTCATAAAGTCAACTATACAATCATCATACAAAAATGCAAATCAACATGAGGATCATATAAATCATGAAATCTCAATTAGCACTAAACATGAATTCTCACAAGAACATGCCCAACATAAGGAAATTATGGAAAACTCATGCAATACACAAGACTCCTAAAACACTAAAAACTCAAGAGGAACTACTTACCTTAAGTTTAAGTAGGAGTAGAAGTAAAAATATAAGGACAAAGGGACTTCATATCAGCCTTGGCCTCCCATGTATAATCTTCAACTAAGTGATTCCTATGTAATACCTTAACAGAAGGTACCTCATGTTTTCTCAACAATTTTACTTGCCGGTCTAGAATCTCTATCGGGACCTCTTCATAAGAAAGACTCACCTCAACTCCTAAGAAATCTAAAGTAATGATGGATACTGGATCACCAATAAAATTCCTGATCATGAAAACGTGAAATATTGGGTGAACCGGAGTCAATTCATTTAGAAAGTCTAGCTCATTTGCAACTTTCCCAACAAAAAATTCATTAAATTTTGAAAAAAAATATATCTAGTGAAAATAATAAGACATTATACAAGATAAATATCTACATTACTTGAGATTAAGTTTAAGTCATGTTACAACATTTATTTTTGGTCTAGCTAGTAAAAAATATGTTTGGGTAAAATTTTGTAATACTATTGAATTAAAACGAGCTTAAATAGAACACGACATGAAATATGGATACAGAAAATTGATATTATCGAATCTAAGTTATAACTTAGCTTTGAGATTGAGACGTATTTATTATTATTATTACAGTATCAAGAACAAAATAGGACCTTTTTACTTACTAGATTTTTCTGATGAAGTTCTTCCACTCACAGATGTTTTCAAGAATCCAAAATGCTTTCCCAAAACAGATTTACCCTGAATAGAATAACATATTCTCATTGTCAATAAACAATATATTCAGTGTAATTTCACAAATTATCGTGAGACTGACAAGTACAGCTTTATGTCTATAACAATAATAATAATAACGACATATTTAGTATAATCTCATTACTATGAGATCTGAATAGCGTATTGCATACACATAGTAGATGTACTTCCTTGATATAGTCAACTTTTATAACTGGTCATTGATTTGCTCACCCTAAATGTCGAAAAAAGTAGTTGACTAGTGGAGCTGAGTTTTCAACTCCCCCCCCCCCCCGAAACCTATGAAATAGATTTTCTATTATATGCAGATGATACAACCAATGATCTCAGCAGAGACACACAAATAGTGTCAATAGATAGTCTCACAAACCAATCATAGGCTACTCAAACACTAATAGCATAACAAGTAAATAAAACCATAAGCAACACAACTGATAGCATGATCAGATTATAAAATTCCCCCCTTTGGCATCGTTTCAAGATTTGGTCTAGGACCACATACGAAGGACTAAAGTTCCCCTACTTACCAAACCTCATTACACTTTTCATAGGTGAGATTTTAAAGTAGACCCAATCACTAACATCAAACTCTAGATCTCTCTTCTATTACCGCGATAGGACTTTTTCCAACTTTGGGCCATTTTCAATCTTTCTGTAATTAGTCAAACCATTTCAATGACCTCATATACTAAATCAAGACCAATTAGGGAAAATTTCCCTTTTTCAAACAAACCCACCGGAGGCCTACACCTTCGAGCATATAGTGCTTCAAACGTTGCCATGCCAATACTTGAGTGGCAACTATTATTATATAGAAAAAATCTATCGACAATAGATGATTATACAAATTACCTTCGAAATCAATAACACACGCCTTCAATATGTCGTCTAATGTTTAAATGGTGCGTTTGTCTTGACCATCCGTTTGAGGGTGGAAAGTGGTATTAACATTAGTACCAATACCATTTTTGAATGCCTTCAAAAAGTGTGAAGTAAATTGTGTGCCTCGATCCGAAATAATAGAAAAGGAACCCTATGGAACTTCACTACTTCTTTGATGTAAAACTTGGCATAGTCTTCCATTGAAAAAGAAACCTTGACAAGAATAAAGTGGGCTGATTTTGTCATCCAATTAACAATGAACCCTATAGAATCATGGTGCCTTCAAGTACGAGGCAAACCCTCAACAATATACATGTTCACATCCTCCCATTTGCAAATGGGAATATCTATATTTTAGGACAAACCTCTCAGTTTTAATTGTTCGAACTTAACTTGTTGACAATTGGAACATTTGTCCACAAAACTAGATATATCCTTTTTAAGGTTATTCCACCAATAGACTTCCCGTAGATAAAGATACATCTTGGTGGCTCCCAAATGAATAGAAAACCTAAACCATGAGCCTTTTGTAAAATTTTGTCTCTGAAGCCATGAACATCTAACACATCATCTAACTTTGTACCTAATCACCCCATCCCTCCCTTGGCTAAAAGACTGAACAAACTTCTCAAGTACCGATTCTTTCAAATCCATCAATTTTTATATGATCAAGGTGTTTATTATACTTCACATCAACTACAAAGAATGATTCAGAACTATGATAAACCATGAAACCACCCTTGGTGGAATCCACTAATTGGATACACTACTAGGCCAACCTATGTACATCACAAACTAACTCCTTCTCATCTTCTACATGGGATACACTAACCATGGACATCTGACTTAAGGCATCCATA